CGTGTTATTATTGACAGGTAAGGAATTGTTATAATGTAATGTTTCTTAAAGAGAGTTTGGCGCAGGGAGCTTTTAATTTCATTCCAACTGCTAATATGTAGAATTTTTAACGTTGTTTTATCACTACAAAAACAATGAGTAACCTGACGTTAACTGCAGTTTGATTAATGGTCTAATAGTGTGTGTATTGATTACTGATACCTATAGCTTATTGTAGTCAGTTCCTAACGACAGTGTTCTGTAAACGGTTGATCTTTGGTGTTTTTAAACTACTTACCTATGTGCAGGATTTAGTGCCATCTAGCTGTGAAGTTGCAGATTACAACTAACTGAACACCACTTGCGTCTGTATTTGATGACCCGGGAATGAGAACGCGCTGTGAAGTGTGTAGGAGAAACTACGGTGGCTGTGAAACTCCAAGAAAACCGCGAAAGGCCCCCGTCTACAGCCAGTGTTTGCTTTGTCTGCGCTACTGTAGAAACAACAGCTCCAACATAACAAGTCACTCACCAGCAGCCTGTGCAGCTATTAACACTCACGTTGCTTTCAGTGGAACGAGAGACGACATGTTTCTCCAGGAACTTGAGGGACGTGAGGATCCTCCTCTGTCTGGGTGTCAGGGCTCTACTGTTCCTCCCGCTGCGCAGAGGCTTCAGCAGTCTGGAGTACTGAGTCCGTAGAGAGGCTGCCCTCACCTTCACCTCCTCCACTGCAACCAAGACCCACACCCTCTCTGTCAGCGTCATGTTACAGCCATAAGACCCTCACACAGACACACACTCTGAGTATGTTTATCACGCACCGGGTAGGTCCAGAGAAACCGCGATTTCCTCCCAGCACCTCTCCTTCTCGGCTTTATTGTGGTAGGTATCCGACGACACGTTGTACAGACACTCGTACTGCTGCCAGCAGTCTACAAGTAAGTCCTCCATGTCCTCAGACCATTTGGTTCGAGAAGTATAAACACCGTTCACCGCCATGTTTAAAAACCCCGTTGTGAGTTCCGCTTCCGCCGCCTACTTTCTTGTTCTGCTGCCCCCAGCGGTCACACAGGAACTGCAGTTCGCCCGTGACATTTTTTATTTGCTGTATTCTATAGTATCATTTTTATTTTCTTGTTGTCACTTTTTGACTTGGACTTGATATGCATAACTATGTTTGTATTAGTGTATAATTACCTGAATATAAGAAACCTTGTTTTTGTTACCTTAGAATGAGCCTTTTTTATATCATACCTGTTGAACCACCGTGTTTCTACGGTAGCCCAGAACAGACAAACCAAACACTGGCTCTAGATAGGGGTTTTCACATTTTTCAGACGTTTTGCGGCCAACTTAGTTTTTCCTATGCGTTTGGAAGAGGGGGGTGATGCGAGGGAGTTGCAATCTTCAACTACACCACTAGATGCCACTAAATCCTACAAAAGAAATGAAATCTTAGAACATTGAAATTATTGTGATGCACATATTTTTGTAATTCATTTATTATGTATTAAATCAGTTTTATCTGTTTTAGTTGTTTTGAGTGCTCATTTTCAGTCTGTGGTTTGAACTATGGGTACAAACAGATTTCACCCCGGGGTTTAACAAAGTCAGTATTTCAATATTCAATATTTCTGATTCTTTAAATAGCTATTAAACTAATCTTAGCACAATTTTTGATATTTTAGGACATTCAGCACTTTTTACTTTGATAAACTGCTTAAGAATTTCAGTGGTATTTCACTCCGAGCATGCTGTGATATCAACTGTGATAGATTTCCGGCTGGATGTACTGTAACTCTTCATAGTCAACCTTGTGAATGAAATGTTTTCTGCTGATGTTTTGCTGTTGCAGGGTTTCAGAAGGGAATACTGAGTGACAGAATGTCATTATAAACAAGGGCACGATAGAAAGTGCAGTTAACAATGTTCCTCCAGGAACTTTAATGGTCTAGGGTATTTGCATTATAAAACGTAAATCAATTCTGGGCTCTAGAATGGTAAAAAAAAAAAAACAATAAATCAAGAGCATTTGCATCCTTTCGAATTTGTCCTTCAAAACTGTCCTTCCAAAACTTTTCAGAAGTTTATTTTTGTGAGTTAAAACGGCTGAAAATCATATCTAACATACTGCGGCCTATTTTCTACATATTTTATAAATAATTTTAAAAGTAGTTTCATTAATGAGGATGTAAAAAACACCTCTCACTGTAAAAGAAGGGTGGATGTTAAATGATGCAGAAGTTCACTGGTACACTTCGGGTACATTTCAAAATTAGAGCTGTAACAATTAATGGATTGACTAATCAATTTGTTTAAAGTAAAATTTATTTCTAAGTATTTTGATAATGGATTGTTCGTTTGGAGAATATTTTTAGACAATTTCTGATTTCGACTTCTCAAATGTAAATATATATTGTGGTTTCTTTCGTCCTCTATAACAGTAAACTGAATATATTTGGGTTGTGGACAAAACAAGACATTTGAGGATGTCACCATTTTCTGACCTTTCCAGGACCAAACAACTATTCCATTAGTTGAGAAAATGAATGACAGATTAATCGATAATGAAAATAACTGTTAGCCCTATTTAAAATTAGTATTTAATGCACACAATATATTAAATGAACCAACTAACTCTCCTGTCATTTCAGACCCTGCCACTCCCTCCTGACCTGCAGTAACCCCTGTTCCTGCCATTCCCCATCACCTGACTGCCCCACCCTTCTGCTCACCTGTTCCTGCCTCCCCCATCAGCCCTGCTGTACAGTATACCGGCCCATTTGCACACGTATCCTGTCAGATCATCTCATGTGTTCCTTACTAAGCAGCTATTTTGCCTATCTGCTTGTTACCTGCCTGCATGACTTGCTGCTGGAATCTGCGACTCATGCCTTTTTGCCTAATCCCTGCCTGCTTAAATCTGCCTTCTCCTGACTCCTGTTTTTTGACATGGAAAATCTGTCTCTGTGTCGTGCTTTTGGGTTCAAACCTGTCTTTACTGAGTAATTTAAGTCTCATACCAACTGCAAAGAAATAGGAGGTTTTGATCTGAATTAATTAATTAAAATACTTTTTCATGTTAACATAGAGGTCTATTTATAGACTATAAACTGTACTAAAATCATCCTGGCAAGTTTAGAAAAAAAGAGAATGAGCAAAATTCCCCTGAGCCTGGATTATAAAAAAGAAGATTATAAAATCTATATAATTCTAAACCAGATGAAAAGTTTTGTACAGTAAGCCCCATGGAGATGCTGTGTAATGATTTTTTTGTCCAAATGCACAGTTTATTTAATACTTGTTGGCTTATGCATGAAAATACACAAACACAGCAAGAGTCTTGCACTTGATGATGACTAATCTCAATACCAGTTATAACCAGCAGATGTCGCACACAACCACAGGGTGTCCACTGAGTCTTCCACAATATCTCGAGGGGTCCTTGATGGGGCTCCATGGGGTCCCATGCAGAGAAACAAGCAACTGTTTTGTGTAATGTTGGCTACAAGTGGTCTAAATTAGAAATAATGCAGGAGACAATTACAGGTTTCCTTCTCTGCTCTCAACTACGCAGGTAAATTCAACAACAGTTGCATTTGAGTCTCTGCAGGTACATTAAACTAAAAGGAGGTGTCAGGGGTTGACTAATGAAAGGCCTAATTTATTTATTAATGACTTTTTAAAAAACTGAATTTGTGTTGAACTGTCTGCGGGATCCCGCTTAACCAGGAATATAACTATAAAGTTAGTCGGAGTTAAGAAGGCTACTAGATGCTGTACTAGCAGAAGTTATGTAATAGAGCCTTCAAAATAAAAACATAAATGAGTGGCGGGCAGAGCTATAGAAAGGTTGCAGCTCGGTAGTTTCACAAATTGACGGTACAATTTCCTGTATATACAAAACTTGCTAAGACTCAGCTGCAAAGCGTATTTCAAACAAGTAGAACGACAACCAAAGTTTGAATATTTGTTGTTCTTTGTTTAACAAGAGCTTTATTTTGAAAGTGACTACCGGAAGTTGAATACATTTGAGCCGGTCACTTGACGCTGGCTCCTCCGCCGTCTCGTGCTGTCCAGCGCTCTTCCCACAGTAACTCTCCGGTGAGTGTGTCCGCTGCCACCTGCAGTCCACCGTCCACAACAGGTGAGAACAGCCCGCTCTTTAGAAACTTCTTTACTGACACGACCTCCGTTTAGACAAATAATGCCGCGTTGTGGATGGAAAGACGAGTGTTTTTGCACTTTGCGTGACCGGGAGTCGAGCACCTTGACAGTTGAGAGTGACAAGTTAGCAAACGAGGAGAGGCTAAACGTACGGAGGATTTAGCGTTATACGGTGAGTGGCAGGGCGGGCAAACCTGAATGGATGTGTCCAGAAACACTGTGTGGCTGCCCGGGTTTAAAAACCAGCTCTGTTCAGCTGGATATACTGACTGCTGAGTCCCTACCTAATCCCAGTTCTCCAGGGGAAACTATCCCAGCGCTGTCAAAAATCTAACATTCCTCTTATTTGACTTTAAAGCGAACAGTGGCAACTTTTAGTGTTTTCTGGTAAATTCGGCATATACCCAAACCACCATACAAAATCCTAATAAAATAAAATCTCAACTTTAGCAACTATTTCATCTCTTTCGTTAGCACCAGTCGGTGTATTTTGGTGGAAGACGTTGACAGAAAAGTTGAGGTGTTACTGAGATGTTACTACAGATTTATTTGATTTGATGTATGCCGAATTTACAAGCAATGGCAATGAACTCTTGAATTTGCTATAATTGGTATAAAGCAAGGTGGGATTAAATTGACAGAACTGAGACAGGAGTTTGGTCTGAAATTGTCTGCATGTGGTTGTGATGAGAGTCTCCAAAGAAAGAAGTGCTCCAAAACATACTATCGAGCTTTTGTACCAATTATGAAGACTTGAAATCCTATTTTTAAGAAATCAGAACAACTACAATAAATGAAGATGCTTTTGTTCAGTTCCTTCACTCTCATTATAGTGAATATTTTACAACAGAACATGATGCTGAAGGGTTCATCATGGGCTTCCTTACATGTGCGCCACCTGCCACTCAGGACTTCATGAGAAACTCACCCATAGTCACCAAACTCCATTTAACTACTGCTCTATCCACTGACATTTAGGCTAACAAGTCCATTTCAGACTCCTTGTTTACATTCTGGCTCGTGTCAGTGAGGGGCCAGGCAGTTGTTTACTGCATGGCAAGGTGCCTGGCTAGTTTTAGATCATGTGTCAGTGCTAAGATATGCATTGGCATCTGCTGCTGGACTACCCTGCTGCATGATCACCTAGTAGTCCGGAGGAATAACCAAACTGTCAGTCTGACAGCCCTGAATAAGCTGGCAGACAGTTTGTGACTTGCTTAGTGTACCCAGGATACAGCACAGTAAGGCTGCACAGTATGGGGGGAAAACATATTGTGATTATTTTGACAGATATTGTGATATGATTCATGATTAGTTGGAATGATTATATAGAAGTTTTACTGAAAGTTTCATTTTCACTGATAACAAACATCTGGAGGAGAAGCTTTTTATGCCAGGCAATCTCTGCGGCACTACAGTACTTCATTATAATGCTGTTTGTCACATATTTGACCTTTTATCTAACAAACTGCAGCTTCTGTGATTTGCACATTCCGCCATAATGTGATTTTGATAATATTTTGATAAAATGTGCAGCCCTACGTAGACTATGAATTCAGACTCAGCCACTGACAGAAGCCTGCTGCTGCTGAAACAGGTAGTTTGCGTGAGTGGGTGTGTTGGGATGTCCAGCAGAATAAAACTGCTCCTGAGGTCTGCAGGGGACGTTTTTAAATCTCAAAACGTCTGGCTGCTGCTTAATTTGTCCACTGCTAGCAGGGTAAGTACGCAGTAAGAGACAAGATAACAGTGCGAACAGAGCACTATTTCCTCCAAGATTGCCTCTCTGCTTCATTGGGAGTCCTAACATAGAGTGGACTCTTGTTCTAATTGGCACACTGAAACCTTAGTGTTTGATGTTGGCTCAGTA